TTATATAGAATATATCACACATTCTATATAAAATACATTCTATATAAAATACATTCTATATAAAATCCAATATATAAAAATGCAATCTAGAGAAATAAATAATAATTTATATAGAATATATCACACATTCTATATATAATACATTCTATATAAAATACATTCTATATAAAATCCAACATATAAAAATTCAATCTGCAGAAAGAAATAATATTTTATATAGAATATATCACACATTCTATATATAATATATTCTATATAAAATACATGCTATATATAATACATTCTATATAAAATACATTTTATATAAAATACATTTTATATAAAATCCATTCTATATAAAATACATTCTATATAAAATACATTCTATATATAACATATTCTATATAAAATCCATTCTATATAAAATCCATTTTATAGAAAATCCATTCTATAGAAAATCCATTCTATAGAAAATCCAATATATAAAAATCCATTCTAGGGAGAGAAATCATATTTAATATATGATATCAAATACATATAAAATACATCCTATAGAAAATGAAACGTGTATAAAATCGGGATTTGGGATTTGGGATTTGGGATGTTTTTGGGATATTTTTGGGATGTTTTTGGGATATTTTCGGGATATTTTCGGGATGTTTTCGGGATGTTTTCGGGATGTTTTTGGGATGTTTTTGGGATATTTTTGGGATATTTTTGGGATATTTTGGGGATATTTTTGGGATGTTTTTAGGATATTTTCGGGATGTTTTTGGGATATTTTTGGGATATTTTGGGGATATTTTGGGGATATTTTGGGGATATTTTTGGGATATTTTCGGGATATTTTCGGGATATTTTGGGGATATTTTCGGGATGTTTTTGGGATGTTTTTGGGATATTTTTGGGATATTTTGGGGATATTTTGGGGATATTTTTGGGATATTTTTGGGATATTTTGGAGATATTTTGGGGATATTTTGGGGATATTTTTGGGATATTTTTGGGATTTTTTGGGGATTTTTTTGGGATATTTTCGGGATATTTTCGGGATATTTTTGGGATTTTTTTGGGATATTTTGGGGATATTTTTGGGATGTTTTTGGGATATTTTTGGGATATTTTGGGGATGTTTTGGGGATGTTTTTGGGATATTTTTGGGATATTTTTGGGGATATTTTTGGGATATTTTTGGGATATTTTTGGGATATTTTTGGGATGTTTTGGGGATGTTTTTGGGGATGTTTTTGGGATGTTTTTGGGATATTTTTGGGATATTTTCGGGATATTTTTGGGATATTTTGGGGATATTTTGGGGATTTTTTTGGGATATTTTGGGGATATTTTGGGGATATTTTCGGGATATTTTCTGGATATTTTCAGGGTGTTTTTGGGATGTTTTTGGGGTGTTTTTGGGATGTTTTTGGGATGTTTTTGGGATATTTTTGGGATGTTTTTGGGATATTTTTGGGGATATTTTGGGGATATTTTCGGGATATTTTTGGGATGTTTTTGGGATATTTTCGGGATATTTTTGGGGTGTTTTTGGGATGTTTTTGGGATGTTTTTGGGATCTCATTCCCGGTTTTTCCCATTCCCAGCAGCCCCTGCTGGGCTCCGAGCTGGATCTGGCTCCCGGGGCTCTGTCCCCCAGCAAGGGCAGCTCCCAGTTCTACCAGTATGGGACCCGCCGGAGAGGCCTGCACGGCTCCTCTGTGGGTGAGTATCCCGAAAATTCCCGAAATTCCCAAAATTCCCCAAATTCCTGAATGGCAAAATATCCAAAAATCCCGAAAAAAAACGGAAAAAATGCACAAAAATGAACAAAAATGCTCAAAAATTGCAAATATTCCGGTGATTGCACGGCTTCTCTGTGGGTGAGTATCCCGGAATTCCCGAATTCCCAAATTCCCGAAAATCCCACATCCCTAAAATATCCAAAAATCCCCAAAAAAACCGGAAAAATGCACAAAAATACACAAAAAAATCCCAAAATCACAAATATTCCAGTGACTGCACGGCTCCTCTGTGGGTGAGTGTCCCAAAAATTCCCAAAATTCCCAAATTCCCGGAATTCCTGAATGGCAAAATATCCAAAAATCCCGAAAAAAAACGGAAAAAATGCACAAAAATGCACAAAAATACTCAAAAATCGTAAATATTCCGGTGATTGCACGGCTCCTCTGTGGGTGAGTATCCCGAAAATTCCCAAATTCCCAAATTCCCGAAATTCCCGAAAATCCCACATCCCTAAAATATCCAAAAATCCCGAAAAAAAAGGGAAAAAATGCACAAAAATACACAAAAATCCCAAAAATGCCCAAAATCTCCCAGAATCCTCAAATCTTCAAAATTCCCAAAAAGCCCAAAATTGCAAAAATCCCCAAAAATCCCCCAAAATCCCAAAAAAATCCCCAAAATCCTCAAATCCCAAAATTGCCCAAAAAAATACAAAATCCCCAAAATCCCAAAATCCCCAAAAATTCCAAAACACCCCAAAAAACCCAAAAATTCCCCAAGACCCCCAAAAAATCCCAAAATCCCCAAAAATCCCAAAAATCCCAAAAATCCCCAAAAATACAAAATCCCCAAAATCCCCAAAAATCCCAAAACACCCCAAAATCCCCAAAAATCCCCAAAAAATCCCCAAAAAATCCCAAAAAATCCCAAAATCTCCAAACGCAAAAATCTCCAAAAATGCCAAAAACTCCCCAAATCCCCAAAATCCCCAAAAATACAAAATCCCCAAAATCCCCAAAAATCCCCAATAATTCCCAAAATCCCCAAAAATCCCAAAACACCCCAAAAAATCCCCAAAATCCCCAAAAAACCCCAAAATCCCCCAAATTTTTTCCTTTTTTTGCAGAAGTTCAGAGCAAGAAAGTGCGGAAGGTGCCCCCGGGGCTGCCGTCCTCCGTAAGAAATTTGGGAATTTTGGGTCATTTTGGGCAATTTTGGGGATTTTTTGGGAATTTTGGGGATTTTTGGGGATTTTGGGAATTTTTGGGGTTTTAATTTTTGGGGTTTTTGGGGATTTTTTGGGGTTTTTTGGGTTTTTTTGGGGGGTTTTTTGGGGGTTTTGGGGTTTGGGGGGAATGGATGGATGCGGCCTAATTTGCATACAACATTAATATTAATAAGCTCATTTGCATAGTGCGTGGCTACCTACAGCACCTCATTTGCATATCGACCTGCTATTGATACCATCTCATTTGCATATCGCTCTGATGTCGATACAGCCTAATTTGCATATCACTCTGATATTGACACTGCTTCATTTGCATATCGTTCTGCTATCGATTCGGCCTCATTTGCATATCACTCCGGTATTGATCTGGTCTCATTTGCATATCACTCAATTGATCAAGCCTCATTTGCATAGCACTCAGACAGCAACACCGTCTCATTTGCATATCGTTTTATTGATACAGCCACATTTGCATATTGCTCAGCTATTGATGCGGTTTCATTTGCATATCGTTCTGATATAGATAGGTCTTCATTTGCATATAATTCTGAGAGTGATACCAACTAATTTGCATATATTTGAGTATTGATAGTCTCATTTGCATGTCATTCTGATATTGATTGTAATTTGCATATCATTCTGGTATTGATACAAATGAATTTGCATATATTCTAGTATTGATACAATCTCATTTGCATATCGTTTAATTGATAGGGCCTCATTTGCATACACTCAGCTATTGATAAAGCCTCATTTGCATATCATTATATTGATAGATCCTCGTTTGCATATCACAAAGCAATTGATGCTGTCTCATTTGCATATAATTCCGCTATCGACACCACTTCATTTGCATATACTGATATTGATCGTCTCATTTGCATATCACTATGCTATTGATGCAGTCTCATTTGCATATCATTCTGATATCGCTAGGTCCTCATTTGCATATCACTCTGATAGTGATGCAAACTAATTTGCATATGTTCTGGTATTGATGCAGTCTCATTTGCATATCATTCCATTGATAGCGCTTAATTTGCATATCAGCTATTGCTCCAGTCTCATTTGCATATAACTCCGCTATCGATAGCACCTCATTTGCATATCATCCCGATATCGATAGATCCTCATTTGCATATCATTGTGGTATTGATTGCGCCTCATTTGCATATCATCCCGGTATTGATTGCACCTCATTTGCAAATCACTCTGCTATTGACCCCACCTCATTTGCATATTTTCCGGCTATTAATCCAACCTAATTTGCATATCTCTGGTATTGATCCCGCCTCATTTGCATAGCTCGGTGGAATCGATCCTGCCTCATTTGCATGTCGCCCTGCCTCATTTGCATATCACCCCACTGGCCTTTTGGCCCCGCCTCCACTCATTGAGCGCTCATGAATATTCATAAGCCCCAGGGAAAATTGGGGGAATTTTGGGATGGAAAAATTCGGGAATTTTTTTTGGGGTGAAAACCCCAAAATTTGGGGAATTTTTTTGGGGTTCAAATCCGCGAATTTTTGGGGTTAAAAACCCCAAAATTTGGGAATTTTTGGGGTTAAAAACCCCAAAATTCGGGAATTTTTCGGTCGCAAAAATCCCGGAATTTTTTTGGGGTGAAAAACCCAAATTTTGGGAATTTTTTGGATGCCAAAAATTCCCTTTTTTTTTTTTTTTTTTTTTTCCCCGCGGAAGAATTCGGAGAATCACCAGAAGGGCTCGTTTGCATTTTTAATTATGTAAAGGAGCAGCTGCATACATTTGCATATTAATGAGTTGCAGCTGAAATCATGCATGCCTAATTAGCGCCACAGCCAAAAATTCCCGGGAAATATTCCCGGAAAAATTTGGGATCCCCAAAAAAGTTTTGGGATTTTTTTTTGGGGGGGGGGGATTTAATTCCCAAATTTTGGGATTTTTTGGGGAATTTTTGGGAATTTTTGGGGAATTTTGGGGATTTTTTGGGATTTTTTTGGGGAATTTTAAGGGAATTTTGGGGATTTTTTGGGAGTTTTTGGGGTTTTTTTGGGATTTAATTCCCAATTTTTGGGATTTTTTGGGGGAATTTTTGGGGATTTTTTGGGATTTAATTCCCAATTTTTGGGATTTTTTTGGGGGGATTTTTAGGGAATTTTTGGGAATTTTTTTGGGAATTTTAAGGGAATTTTTGGGATTTTTTTGGGGGAATTTTTAGGGAATTTTTGGGGATTTTTTGGGATTTAATTCACCATTTTTGGGATTTTTTGGGGGAATTTTTGGGATTTTTTGGGGGGAATTTTTTGGGATTTTTTGGGGGAATTTTTAGGGAATTTTTGGGATTTTTTTTGGGAATTTTAAGGGAATTTTGGGGATTTTTTGGGGTTTTTTGGGGTTTTTTTGGGCTTTAATTCCCAATTTTTGGGATTTTTTTGGGGGAATTTTTTGGGATTTTTTGGGCTTTAATTCCCAATTTTTGGGATTTTTTGGGGGAATTTTTTGGGAATTTTTGGGGAATTTTTAGGGAATTTTTGGGGATTTTTTGGTGATTTAATTCCCAATTTTTGGGATTTTTTTGGGGAAATTTTGGGGGAATTTTTGGGGATTTTTTGGGATTTAATTCCCAATTTTTGGGATTTTTTGGGGGAATTTTTAAGGAATTTTAGGGAATTTTTTGGGGAATTTTAAGGGAATTTTTGGGATTTAATTCCCAATTTTGGGGATTTTTTGGGGGAATTTTTGGGGTTTTTTTGGGATTTAATTCCCAATTTTTGGGATTTTTGGGGGGAATTTTTAGGGAATTTTTGGGGATTTTTTGGGATTTAATTCCCAATTTTTGGGATTTTTTTTGGGGATTTTTCGGGATTTTTTGGGGGAATTTTTGGGGTTTTTTTGGGATTTAATTCCCAATTTTTGGGGGAATTTTTGGGGATTTTTTGGGGAATTTTTGTGGATTTTTTTGGGAATTTTAAGGGAATTTTTGGGATTTTTCGGGGAATTTTTGGGGATTTTTTGGGATTTAATTCCCAATTTTGGGGATTTTTTGGGGGGAATTTTTGGGGTTAAAATCGGAATTTTTGGGGCTTTTTTGGGAAGATTTTGGGTCAATTTTTGGGGTTAAAATTTGAATTTTGGGGCTTTTTTTGGGCTATTTTGGGTCACTTTTGGGTCAATTTTTGGGGTTAAAATCTGAATTTTTGGGCATTTTTGGGGCAATTTTTGAAGTTAAAATTTGAATTTTTGGGGATTTTTTTGGTCAATTTTTGGGTTAAAAAATTGAATTTTTGGGGCTTTTTTGGGGTTATTTTGGGTCAATTTTTGGGTTAAAAAATTGATTTTTTAAGGATTTTTTTTGGGTTATTTTGGGGAATTTTTGGGGTTAAAAAATTTGAATTTTTGGGGCATTTTTGGGGCGATTTTTGAAGTTAAAATTTCAATTTTTGGGGATTTTTTTTGGTCAATTTTTGGGTTAAAAAATTGAATTTTTGGGGCTTTTTTGGGGTTATTTTGGGTCAATTTTTGAGTTAAAAAATTGATTTTTTAAGGATTTTTTTGGGTTATTTTGGGGAATTTTTGGGGTTAAAAAGTTTGAATTTTTGGGGCTTTTTTGGGTGAATTTTTCGGTTAAAAAATTGAATTTTTGGGGCATTTTTGGGTCAATTTTTGGGGCTTTTTTTAGGTTATTTTGGGTCAATTTTAGGGTTTAAAATTTGAATTTTTGGGGGTTTTTTTGGGTCAATTTTTGGGTTAAAAAATTGAATTTTCGGGGCATTTCTGAGTCAATTTTTGGGGTTAAAAATCTGAATTTTTGGGCATTTTTTGGGTGAATTTTTGGGATATTTTGGGTCAGTTTTTGGGTAAAAAAATTGAATTTTTGGGGATTTTTGGAGGAAAAAGGCGCGGGCGCCACCTGCAGGAAATAAAGAAAAATAAAAATAGAAAATATTTAAATTAATTAATAAATATTTAAATATCGATAGAGAATTGAGGAAATAAATGGAATTAACGGGAAGAAAATGAATTTATTTCATGGATTAAATGGATTAAATCAATTAAATATATTAAATCAATTAAATGTATTAAATCAATTAAATGTATTAAATCAATTAAACGTATTAAATAAAATAAATGTAATATATTAAAGTCAATATATTAAATTAATTAATTGCATTAAATATATTAAATATATTAAATATATTAAATATATTAAATATATTAAATTAATTAAATACATTAAATTAATTAAATACATTAAATTAATTAAATACATTAAGTAAATGAAAGACATGAAAAAATATTAAATAAATTAAATAGATGAAATAAATTGAAATTAATTAAATATATTAAATATGGTAAAGGATTAAGTTTATTAAATGCATGAAATAAATTAAGAAAATTAAATATATGAAAGAAATTAAGTATATTAAATCAATTAAATATATGAAATAAATTAAATATCTTAAATCAATTAATTACATTAAATATATTAAAATGAATAGATGAAATCAATAAAATCTATTAAATAAAATAAATAAAATATACTATGTGAATAAAGTAATTAAATATATTAAATACATTAAATTATTAAATCCATTAAATACATTTAAAATATTAATTAAATGAAATATATTGAATAAATTCAATCTATTAAATAAATAAAAATTAATTAAATATATTAAATAAAAGAGAGAAATTAAATATATGAAGTAAATCAATATCAATAAAATGAATACATTAAATAAATTTAAAATATTAAATAATATATTAAATATATTAACTAAAATAAATATGTTAAATAGATTAAATAATACAAATAAATTAAGGAAATATATAAAATATCTTAAACATATTAAATAAATGAATTAATTATATTAAATAAATGAAATATCATTAATATAATTAAATAAATTAAATAGATTAAATAAATATATTAAATATATTAAATATATTAAATAGATTAAATAGATTAAATAAACACATTAAATATATTAAGGAAATTAAATATATCAAATAATAAAATATATTAAATAAATTAAATATATTAAATAAATAACTTTAAACGAATATATTAGATAAATAAAATAAATGTATTAATTGAAAGAAAAAAATAATCAAATAAATGAAATAAAAATTAAATAAATAAAATTAATTAAAATTTAAATAAATTAAATACATTAGATAAATTAAATAAATACATTAAATATATTAAATAAATTAAATATATCAAATAATAAAAGAAATTAAAGGTATCAAATATATTAAATAAATTACTTTAAATAAATATATTAATTAAATCAAAGAAATATATTAAATTAATTAAATAAATTAAATATATAAATTAAATATACCAAATAATCAATACAATTATATAAATTAAATATATTAAATAAATTGAATAATTAAATATATTAAATCAATTAAATCTATTAAAGAAATTCCTTTAAATAAACGTATTAAATTAATTAAAAAATATAATAAATAAATTTAATAAATTAAATATATTAAATAAATTAAGTATATTTGATATATTCAATATATGAAATAAATTAAACACATTAAATCTATTAAATAAATGCAATTAATAGAATTATATTTTTAATAATATTAGAAACCAATGAAATAAAAATAATTAATAAATACGAAATATTAATAAGTTGAAATGTAAAAAATATAATAAATAAATATTAATAAATATTAATAAATAAACGAAATTATTAATTATAAAATAAATTTAATTAGAATTAATTTGCTTTTTTATCGCAATATTCCAATTAAATCGAATTCAAATTGCATTTATTAAATAGATATTAGTTAATAATTTTAATTTAATTAAGTATATTTATAATTAGATTTATTTTCCACTATAAAATATAGACGAATAATTAATTAATTAATTTTATATGAAATTGATATTACATAATAGCAAAATAATACTATTAATAATTTATTAAACAAATTAAATATCGATTCAGTATATTAATTAATTCTATTAAATAGATTTAATGCAATTAATCAATACTAAATCAATTTATTCGATTAAATAGATGGATAATTAATAATAAATCTATTGACTATATAGATAATAATTAATAAATCGTTTTATTCGATTAAATATATTGATTATAATAATAATAAATTGATTTATTTGATTAAATAGATTCATAATAATTAATAAATTGCTTGATTAAATAGATTGATTGTAATTAATGATAAATCGATTTAGTCGATTAAATATATTGAATATAATTAATCAATATCAAATGCATTTAATAGAATTAATTAATATTTAAGGCATGAATTAGATTTAATCAATTTAATTAATATTTAATCAATGTATTCTATTAAATAAATTGAATATAATTAATAATAAATCGATTTATTCGATTAAATATATTGAATATTATTAATATGTTATATATTAATTTTATTAAATATATTTATATAATTAATCAATATTAAATACATTTATTAGATTTAATCAATATTTAATAGATTTATTATAATAAACATAATTAATAGAATTGATAATTAATCAATCAATTCTATTAAATATATTTCTTATAGTTAATTAATAATAAATCGATATATTAGGCAAAGTATATTGATAATAATTAATATTAAATATAATTAATCGATTTAATTAATTTAATTAATTAGATTTAATATATTCAAACAATTTAATTAATATTTAATCTATTTATTTTATTCAAAAAATTTAATATATCTAATCAATATTAAATATTGATTAATTATCAATTAGTTGATAGGAATAAATTAATTAATTAATTTAATTTAAATTAATGAGTGAGAAATCCCAATAATGAATCAATTGAAATAATCTGAATATATTGAATATTAATTAGGATTGGTATTAAATATTGATTAAATATCGGTAATTGAAATTTTTATTTATCAATAGGAATTAATTGATTAATTAATTGAAATTAATTAAATATTAATGGTTATTAAATCCTGATATAATTTTGATTATTTATATATAGATTGTAATTAATTCTTAAATATTGATTAAATATCGATTAAGTAGCGATAATTAGAGTTTTATTAATAGGAATTAATTCATTAATTCAATTGATTTATTAAATATTAATGGTTATTAAATCCCGATAATAAAACAATTTATTTACGTATTGGCCTATTAATATTAGAATTTATTCTAATTATTGATTAAATATTGATTAATTATCAATAATTTGATTTCCCATTTATTGATAGGAATTAATTAATTAATGGCATTTAATTTTAATTCAATTAATTTAAATAAACACGGGGTTATTAATTATAAGGATATAATTATTATTACATAATTATTAATAATTTATTATTAATTTATTAATTAATAATTATATTTAACTCTAATAAGTGTTAATATATAATTAGTGATCACTAATTATAAATACAGTAATTACAAATTAATATTATTAATTAATTAATTATTAAAATTTGGGATTTTCTGGGCTAAAAATTCAGACTTTTTGGGGGGTAAAATTCAATTTTTTTTGCTATAAAATTCGGATTTTTTGGGTAAAAATTTGGGAATTTTTGGGTAAAAATTTGGGATTTTTTGGGGGATAAAATTGGGAATTTTTTGGCTCAAATTTCCGATTTTTTGGGGTAAAAATTCACATTTTTTGGGGATAAAATTGGGTTTTTTTGGGGAAAAATTCCGTTTTTTTGGGAATTTTTTGGGGAATAAAATTGGGAATTTTTGGGCTCAAAATTCAGATTTTTTTTCCGGAAAAAAATTCACATTTTTTTGGATAAAAATTCACATTTTTTTGGATAAAAATTCAGATTTTTTGGGGATAAAATTTGGGATTTTTTCGGAATAAATTTGAGAATTTTTGGGCTCAAAATTCAGATTTTTTTTTGAGGATAAAAATTCCGATTTTTTGGAGATAAATTTTGGAATTTTTAGGGAATTTTTTGGGGGAAAAATTTGGGAAATTTTGGGTAAAAATTCCGATTTTTTGGGGGGCTCAAAATTTCGATTTTTTTTCGGATAAAATTCGGATTTTTTGGGGTAAAAATTCGGATTTTTTGGGATAAAATTGGGAATTTTGGGGGAATAAAATTGGGAATTTTTGGGCTCAAAATTCAGATTTTTTTGTCACTAAAAATTCAGATTTTTTGCACTAAAAATTCAGAATTTTTGGGATAAAATTCGGAATTTTTGGGGAATAATTTCGTGAATTTTTTAAAATAAATTCGGGATTTTTTTTGGGGCCAAAAATTCAATTTTTTTGGGATAAAAATTCAATTTTTTTGGGATAAAAATTTCTATTTTTGGGGATAATTTGGAAAGTTTTTTGGGGATAAATCTGGGATTTTTTTGGGATTTTATTCATAAATTTGGTCTTTTTTTGGGCTCAAAATTCAGATTTTTTAGGGTAAAAATTGGGATTTTTTAGGGTGAAAATTGGGATTTTTTTTCGGGATAAATTTGGGAATTTTTGGGCTCAAAATTCAGAATTTTTTTTTAGGATAAAATTCGGATATTTTGGGAATAATTTTGGGATTTTTTTATGATAAAATTTGAAAATTTTTGGGGATAAAATTTGGGATTTTTTGGTGCTCAAAATTCCAATTTTTTTCGGGTAAAAATTCAGATTTTTTTTAGGTAAAAATTCCGATTTTTTTGGGATAAATTTGGGAATTTTTTTGGGATAAATTTGGGAATTTTTAGGGGGATAAATTTGGGAATTTTTTGGGCTGAAAATTCAGATTTTTTTGGCTAAAAAATCACGATTTTTTTGGGGTAAAATTCATGATTTTTTGGGGCGAATCAATCAGATTTTTTTGGATTAAAATCCACTTTTTTTTTGAGTAAAAATTCACATTTTTTGGGGAAAAAAAATCACATTTTTAAGCTCAAAATTTCGATTTCAGATTTTTTTTTGGGGTTAAAATCCAGATTTATTTTTTGAGTAAAAATTCACATTTTTTGGGGAAAAATTCACATTTTTTGGGCAAAAAATCACATTTTAAGCTCAAAATTTCAATTTTTTTTGCTATAAAAACGGGATTTTTTGCGATTAATGTCGGGATTTTTTGGGGAATGATTTTTTTATAAATTTGGGATTTTTTTTTGGGTGAAAATTTACCAATTTTGGGTTTTTTTTTTGCTCAGGTTTACGCCCCGTCCGCTTCCACGGCCGAATTCAACCGCGACTCACCCGGATTTTCAGCCAAGGGCGCTTTCCCCTCTTCCTTCTTCATGCAAGGTAAAAAATTCCCAAAATTTCCCCAAAAATTCCCAAAAAAAAAATGGAATTTCACCCCCAAAAAAAATCCCAATTTTTTCCCCCAAAAAATCGCGAGTTTGGGGTCGAAAATCCGCGAAAAATCGAATTTTTTGCATGAATTTTAGTGAGAAAAATCGAATTTTTTGGTGGAATTTTTGGTGAAAATTTGGGATTAAAATTCCCCCAAAAAATTCCAAATTATTTGGGTTGGATTCCCCCAAAAAATCGGAATTTTGGGATTAAAAAAAAATCTAAATTTTGCCGCCAAATTTCTGTGAAAATTCAAATTTTTTTTTTTTTTGATTAAAAATTCCCAAATTTTGGGTCAAAAATCTCCCAAAAAAAAATTCGGAATTTTGGGAGGAAAATTCCCAAAAAAAAAAAATCCAAATTTTAAACCGAATTTCTGAAAAATTCAAATTTTTGAATTAAAAATCCCCAAAAATTCCCGAATTTTTTTGAGCTAAAATTCCCCAATTTTTGGGCCAAAATTGCCAAGAAAATCCAAATTTTGGGACAAAAAATTCCCAAAAATTGGGAATTTTAGGATTAAAAATCCTAAAAAAATTTAATTTTTTGGAAGCAATAATCCCCCAAAATTCCCAAATTTTGGGACCATAACTTCCTCAAAAAAATCCAAATTTTGGGTAAAAAATCCCCCAAAATTCCCAAATTTTTGGGTCAAAATTTCCCAAAGAATTCCATATTTTGAGATCAATTTTCTGTAAAAAATTGGAATTTTTGGCAATAAAATTCTTGAAAAAAATCCAAATTTTGGGTCAAAAATCCTCAAAAATTCCCAAATTTTTGGGATCAAAATTCCACAAAAATTCCCAAATTTTTGGGTCAAAAATTCCCAAAAAATTCCAAATTTGGGGAACAAAATTTCTCCAAAAATTCCCAAAATTTGGGTCAAAATTCCTGAAAAAAATCCAAATTTTGGGTAAAAAAATCCCCCAAAATTCCCAAATTTTTTTGAGCAAAAATT